TTTCCACATCGGTAACAACTGTCTACCAGTTTGAGCGTTTCGTCACTGATGGCGCCACAGTCGATCCTCCTGTATGACCTTATCGGTAACAACTGTCTACCAGTTTGAGCGTTTCGCCACTGATGGCGCCACAGTCGATCCTCCTGCATTTCCACATCGGTAACAACTGTCTACCAGTTTGAGCGTTTCGCCACGGATGGCGCCACCAGTAAAAACATCAGATTTACCCAAGCAGATAATTCTTGCCGCTCCAAGCATTGCACGCCATACTCAAAGCGGCACGAATCATTCGTCCCGCAGAAAATTCTCCACACAATACTGTAATAAAACAAGATATATTCTCAAACTAATAACCTCCTCTCATACAAGACCTCCCTATCAATCTCCAACGCAACATCCTCCTCAACCACGTTGACATCCGCCCAGGTACCATCCGAACCAGTCGGATGTCGCTCGGATCCCCTTTTCGGCGCGTTGCAGAGAACATGGCTCGCCTAAGACGCCAAGTTACGAGCGCCGCCGTGCGTGGTCGCTGTCAGCCGTGTGTCAATCGAAGGGACATTTTCCGAAGGATGTTCGCAGTAAAGATCCTCAGGATCGGAGCTCCTCGACGCGGTCGTCTCCGGTCGTCCCCCGGAAGCTCTGCTCGGCAGCACGCCGCGCCTTCGTTCACGGAGGACGAGCGTCCGTCGTCCGGCGTCGCGTCGTTCCGCGAGTTATCTCGCCAGGACGGTGTCTCTGTTTTACCGTGCGATCGTGTTTCCGAGTACTCGCAGAGAGAGCGTGCTCCTGCAAACGGTGGTGCGTGTAGCCAGTCTTTCGGTAGTCTCGGATCTTCTGGAGGAGATATCGACACGAAAACATGGTTGTCTCCGGTTGTTTACCTCGCCGCGGGCTCCAGGGAAGCTAGAGGCTGCTCGCCGAGCGGGCTGTGCGCGGAACGGCGTCGAGAAACTCGCGAAGCGTGTCCGGGGGATCGAGGCGGATTCGGGACTGGAGGCTGACGCTCGGCCGACACCGCGTTGGAAGCTGGGCCTGGTCGTCTTCGTCGGGCTGCGAAACGATAGCCGGAGGATCTCGCCGAAGATGAGGCTCGCGGCTTCGCGCGACACGGTGCGTACATCTTCCTCCTGTCGCGACGTTACCTCGGGATAGCTCGGCGTGCTGGTTCGATCGGCGCCGGGTCTGTCGCTCGCGTTTTCGCCGCTGACGTGCTCACGTGACAGATGACAAGAGGCTGTTACGGTCTCGCTGGAACGCCAACGTTCCAATGACGTTTCCCCGTTCGGCGACAACCACCGTGTCCCGCCTTTTCCCTTCCCACCGTCCGCTCGCGTTTATCGCGTTCGCACGTCGTAGGCCGCTCGATCCAGACTAACCTGTTAGCCGACCAATTCTCCTCGACGTTGCTTCGATATTGTCGCTTTTCCTCTTAAGCTTTCATCGATTGTCCTTCGGATGTTACCGAGTCGTTCGTCGCGGGGACGGATTGAACGCGTTCGAGAAGTATCGGCGAGTCCACGCAGACGACTTCTTTCGCAGGAATTCGAATTCGGGAATTCGCTCGCGCGTTAACCCTTGGTGCACCGTGCACTTCCGCTGAGTTTCAACCCTTGCGGACGAACGTCGATATTTAGGGAGATCGGATTTTCATATTTACACCAATGATCTAATTACTTAACAGCAAGAGATTAGTACGTAGTTTCCTTGTTTTTATTATGCGATCGATATGGAATTCATCTTCGGTTGTTAAAAGTTTTGTATATTTGGAAGAATCTTCGTCCGCGAAGGGTTAATATTCCACTGACAGTTTCGAACTGCCAGGAAATCGAGTATTCCAGTGGACATTTCGTTGGGAGATAATGCACTGATAATAGCGGACGCTTTGATCCGCGGGTAATGAGCAACATTGTTGTTGACACTCGAGAGGTGACTCTCGGTCGCCATCTTCTTTGATAAAGCAAACCTAAGGAGTTGAATATCGAGTATTTTAAATGAAACTTTGTATTGCTATGTGAAATGTTTAAACAAAGTAGTCGCAAAAGTGTTGAATATTTATAATAAAATTATCAAACGAGAAAATTAAAGTAAAATGTCGAATAAAGTATTAACCCTTTGCACTCGAATACAGCAGAACTATGAAGTTGAATATTTACTGTTTTAAATTAAACTTTGTGTGTTGCTTAATTTATCACTGAATCATTATTAAATTAGTTTCAAACAATGTCGTCTTTATCTCGTCGGACAGTGTTCAAATATTTCTACTGAAAAACTTCCGAGTGCAAAGGGTTAACACGTGGAACACAGAAATAAAACAACTCTGTTCTATTATTTATGCAGCGTGTCTCTTTATGCAGTATTTAGCGAGATAATAATGAATGTCTATAATAAAAAATATCGTCGAGTGCGAAGGGTTGAACGAGAACATCCCCTACAAAGGCAGCCGCGAGGCGGATACTACCGATCCCGGCGACACGTGTCGTTTGAAAACGTTTCGCGTCCCTCTAAGATAACGAAGAGCAACGGACACGCGACCCAGTTGCGCGCCGGTGCGTTTTTAACCCCCTGCCCTGTGATTCCTTTTTCAATTCTGTTCGATACGATTACTTTGTCGTTAGTAATTTATTGGGAAAAGAGAATACTAGGCATATTCTACGTGTACGATTGCTCTGAAGTATAATTCATTACAGAATATTTACTTTGAATTCGAATAAATCGAGTGATATTTGTGTTCGTTGACACTGACTGAGAATTTCCAGCAGTTTGAATAGTAATACTTATTGTTTAATAACAAAGGCAAATGAAAAAAAATTAATAATGATTTAGCATTACAACTTTAAATTTATTAAATCGAGTAATATTTGTTTGTTAACACGTTGACTGTCACGAGAACTTCCAGCGGTTTGAATAGTAATACTTATTCTTTAGTAACAAAGGCAAATGAAAATAATTATTAATAATTTAGCATTACAGTAGCCATATTACGCTATAATGTAGCTAGTTATGTTATTAAATATTTTTATTGAAGTCCTTTATTGCAATTGTTCTTCACGAATTTGGAAGCTCCGGTCTGCGACTTATTTTTATGGTATCTCTAGTGATAATGAAAAATGCTATAACATTCCTTCAATCTTTTATTTTCCTTCTCAGCGCAAAATTCGGATGTGTGGGAAATTTAATAATTTTAAGGTAGTTTCTTTGAGATTCATTAAAATATTTAATACTACAACTGGTGAGATATTGGAGCCTAAAGAGTTCAAAGGGTTAGCAAGCAAAATTAGTGTACACATCGGTGTAAAGCAGGTAAAAACAAGATTCATCGCAGACTTTGCCAAATTTCTGAATTCATTTCCAGCGCAAGGGGTTAACCCGGTACGGTGAAAATTTCCATTTTCCCCGTGTTCGATTGGAACGGTCGTCGGACACGTTCCGAGAGGCGTGCACGGCTGATCCGTGCGCCGCGCGGCTGTTACACAAGCGAAACTAGGCAATCGAGGGGAAAAGGGAAGCAGAGGAAAGCAGCTGACTGCGTGAAACCACGTAAGAACGCGGCCGACCTTGCGCAACGCGAGCCGTCCCCGAAAGCGTGGAAAAAACGCTCCTGTCTCCTTGTTGCTCGCCTCCGCGTTCCCGTTTCGCGCGGATTGCGGCTCGCGATTGCGGGGAATTCCGCCGGCGAGTCGATAAGCCGTGTTCCACCGACGAAAGCTCGATTATTCGGCTCGTTTCCGTCGGCATTCGCCGGGAACAGCGCTGCTCGCGAGAACGCTTCGAAACGCGCGATCCGAAAGGCAAATTCGAGGGAGCCGGCTGTGCTCGATGCTGCCACGATTCCGACAATCAGCCCGAATTCCTGGCTGCCGAACGCGCTTCCGCTTCCCTCGCGTTTCAACCCCTTGCACTTTGAGCAGCGTTTCGCTCGGGATCAAAATACTCGGTCGAACGTAAATATTGCCAGTCCGAGTCGAGGTGATAATACGAGTGAGCTTTGATTATGGTTAAATGATGTGGCGAGAGGTTGATACTGACCTTACGGTCGAATGACGATATAGAATTCTGTGTTTCTAACCCCTCTTGTACTTTGAGGAGTTTGACTCGCGACATTTCTAGACTAATTTAACAATCGATGTTGCTCGTTACCCACGGATCAAAGCGGACAATTGTTTTGCTATTATTAGTGTATTATCTTCAAATGGAATTTGCACTCGGAGTAGAACGCTCAATCGTTGCAGTTCTTCGAAATCTTGTAATGGGGATTTATAGGGTTAACGGCAATCAATGTTTCATTCCCAGTGGTCAAAGCAAACTACTTGCTGCTATCGATCTATTATCTTCAAATGAAACTTCCACTCGAAAGAACGCTCGATTCTTGCACTTCCTCCAAATTATCAATAGTAAAACATTACACGAGCTTAGTATCGAAAGTGCATAGTACGCCAAGGGGTTAAAGGTCTCGCTGTTAACCTCCAGATCGGTATCCCAAAGATCGGCCGCGTCGCTCGATATCGGGAAACGAATTTTCAACGCGAACGATCGAATTCGCAAGCTTGAGGTTCGTTCCGCTTACCGATCGCAGTCCCGATATTCCTCAGCCACGAGAGATCGGTCCCGAAGCGAGGAAGAGCACGCGAGCGAGTCGCAGTCGCAAACAAGAAAGAGAGCGGGCAGGCCACCGATGAGTTATGAAGCCCGTGGCTCGTTTATTATCGCAACGGCGGGGTTAATCACGGTCCGTCTAACGATTTCCTTGTTAAACCCAGCGCCGCTGATGACGCCGGGAGTCCTGCTATTCCGCGGGGCCTCCGCCGAGGAGGATAGTTGAATTTCGCGCGGCGGATCGGTCCGTTCGCGGAAAAGGGGACGACGAGAGGAAACGAACCGAACCGTACCGCGGTATCGTGCGCACCTGATCCTCCATTTACGCGGACCTTTTTCGCGCGAGCCTCTTTGTCAGCCGGAAATTGGAACACTTTACGTGGTAGTTCGTACGCGTCTCAATTTACGCTTCAATTTAGTAGCAGCGAATAAAATGTACTTTTCTTTTCTAGAATGCCATTACCATTATTTCTTTCGTTAACCCCTTGCCTTAATTTAATGAATTTAACAGACATAAATGTTAACGCTAGAACTACAGTACCAGTCAAAATGACTGGTTTCGAGTTTTTTGTTTAATTATTGATATCTTCGAAGCATTGAATATTCGAAATGATTTTCAAAATAAATATTTCTACTTGGGTACTATAATGAATGTCTGAAGAAACTGAGAATAATCTATTGTTACAATTTCTGTAGGAATTGCGTGTTAATCGTATTAAATGCTCGGTAGTTCTAGTGTTAATCTTTGTGGATACAAATTGAATAGTACTCTTCTATTACGAATTATTATAGATTAGAGCGAACATTACAAAGTAGGCGTGTCGATCAAAGTTGAGAAATCGTAGGTCAAGGGGTTAAGCTGCGAGAAATTTAATATTGTATCAACTTTTCCCTTCGGTATTTTGTTTGTACAAACAGACTGCTCTGTTAACGCGATTCTGGTTCGCGCGAGACGGTCCCAGGTGCGACGGATTTTCGCGTAAACCGAGGGTCAGGCGTAATCCGAAACGTCGGAGTTGGTTATCTTTGCTTACCTTTGGCCTGGTTCGCCGCGCAGCGCCGGGGGACGCGCCGATATCGTCGAGGAAGCCGTTTAACCGCCTCGATTAACATTTTCCTCGGCCCAATATAGTTTACCGGTTCTGCGGTTCCCGTCGTTGCGCGGACGTTGCGACACCGCCTTTCGGTTTCCAACGAGTTCGGCTCGCTGCGGCTTGCGCAAGCCAGCCCGCCGCGTGATTCCAGAGAAACGATTCTTTTTCTACGATTTCTACGGTTCGCGGAAGGTTTCTCGAGAGCACGCGTCACCGTTTTCTCGCGGACCGCGATCCGTTTCGCGATCTCGCCGCTGAATCACGCGTTGCGACCGATTTCACCGGTTTTGCTGGTGAACACGTTAAACGCCATGTCAGCCACTGGTGACTGACGCTTCTGAATGACTAAGAAACGATCGTAACATACAAGACAACCGATGCGAAATAAAAATGTTTAATAAGACAACTAAGTTGATAACAGTG